ATCAATCAAATAGCTATTCCAGAAATAAATGGCAACTCTGCACTTATCTCTCTACTTAACATACAATAATCAAGTGTGGATGACACGAGTTGGCTAAATTTACTGAAAGATGGGAACAAGCTTACTTGCACAAAATTATTGGGTGAAATAATTCCTGTACAAGTTCTGCAGTGGTTAGAGATTTGTGCCACTTGAAAACGGAAAACTAGGAATATGGGCTAGTTAATGGATCCCTTGAGAAGCTGCATCCTCTTTAATGCAATAACTCAGAATTACTAAGTCAATTGGAATGGTACTCATTCCCAAAAGATCAGCAATCACAATCTAACAGCATTATATGGAATTCAAACAATATTATCTAGCAATAAGGCAAAGCACCTTCCTTTGTGCAGAAGAAAGTGGATTTGTTTTGCTGAGATGGTAGTCTTTGAAAATCTATACTAAGATTCACACTGTCCATACTGCCCATTTGCAGAATCTGCTTACAATACTGTTCAATACAACATCTTATAAGCAGACTGAGACATTGCTTTTAAAAACATATCTACAGTTAATTTCTTTGCATACATACATTCTCAGATATAAATACATATACAGACATATGCACACACAATTTAAATTTCTATTTAATTTGAAATGTCTTCATAAAGCCTTAAAAATGGAGCTCTCCCTTAGCTAGTTAGGCACCATGAAATTGTCTCAGATCCTGATAACCATAAGTCATCCATAAATTCTTGCCATCTTCATCTGCCCCCTTAATAGCTCTTCCAAGGAAATTCTAATGATTTCTTTGATCCCACCTTTCCTTAATATTTCTTTTCTTCTCTTCTTTCAAGAACAATCTTTTTTTTCTAGGCCAGCTATTCATTAACTAACCCTAAATAGCAGATAGAAGAAAACTGATGGTAAAGAGAGGAAGAAGAAGGAGCTGCAGAACCATAAATAACATATTTCAAAATATTTCAGAAGAAATATTTTAGGCTTCATACAATTCATACTGTGACCAATCTTCCTTTATTCATGAGAATTGCTAAAAGAGGGTTTTTATCCTACAATTGGGAGTCTAGTGTACTTTGGACCAGCCTCTTAGTTCAGACTAATTGTGGTCTGATTTTTATCAGTTTCTATTGGGCTGCTGATGGCTCCATATCATAGTTATAATATTGCCGTGATAAATCCATTCTGAAATATTTATATCACAATCAGGGTCTTTACAACCATTATCTTCATAGGGCACACTTTGCATCTCAAAATTTTCAGTGAACTGGACATACTACACATGAATTCTCTAATCTTGTTATTAGTAATAATTTTTACATTCTCTCCAACCTCTAGTAGAAGGGACCAGTCATTAATCTGTTATGGCAAAGACTGCTTCCTAAACTTTTCCCATATGATAAAGGGAAGCTAATCTGAACCTAGTATGTATCAGCTTGTTTGTTACCTTCACATATTTCTCCCGTGTTATTCCTTCTCTGGTTTTAAATTACAAGTAATATATTTTCTTGTTGTAATAACCTAGTTATTAGATCCTTGGAGACTTAATTAAAAGATTGGATGAATTCTCTTAAATCAGAGAAATTGTTCTCACCTGTTAGAAACTATTGTAGATATTGCATTAGTGAATATAGAAGAGCTACTAATCTTTATAAGCAAATTACACAAGAGAGTTAAAAGCAGTCTTTATAGTTGAAGTATATGCATAAACCTGCCTTGTGATATAGTTATTTCAAGAGATATCTTATTTATCTAAAAGAAGATTATGTCTTGTCCATTTGCATAGATTCTCCAAAATGATTTTCTTGGGGCACTTATTGTAGTTAAAGAGAGATCAATATATTGGAGAGTATTAAGTAGAGTACCATACTGATCAGACCTGGGTCATATAACCTTCAATATTTTTGGGTGGTAAGAAGTAATAATCTTCATTAATTAGAGAAATAGTTCAAAGTAACATTGAAATTTAACAGAGACAAATATAAAATTCTTCACTTCAAAAACATAAATAATAGATGGGGGTAGGATGGAATAGCTGACCCGGTAGTGCTACTTGTGCAAAAAGTCCTGGAATAGTAGTGTGATATGGCAGAGGAGGAAGAGGAGGCTATATCAACAGATGAATGACTTCCAAATCACATGAAATAATAATCAAAGTTCTGAGCTTTTAAAAAGAATCATATAATTTTAATAGGATCAAGGAAGGACAGGCAACAAGGATTATCAAGCTATTGGAAATCTATGAAAATAGATTGAAGGACTTGGGTATGTTTAGTCTTAAGAAAAATCATATGAATAGCGATATATATATATATATATATATATATATATATATATATATATATATATATATATATATATATATATATATATATACACACACACTTCTGTTCAATGTCTGATTCACAGAAACTACCTGAATTTTTTTTCAGTAGTGGTTTGCACTCATCAAATATCTGAAAGAATGCCATATAGAAATCAAAGACCCATTATCTATATTATTACAAAGTCCAGGATACAAAATAATGGATAAAAGTTATAGGAAAGCAGACCAGAACTGATACCCTAATAATAAGAATAGCTAGATGGTGAAACCAATTGCCCAGAGAGGTGGTATTCCACTGGATGGAATCTATTTAGGATGCTTTAATTTGGATTCCTGCATTAAGAAAGGAGCTGGAATCAGTGACCTAAATGTATCTTTCCCACTCTTTGGTCCTCTGGTATCACCTATTAAGGTGATGGCCAAGCAGTCTGCTCAATTTTAATGTAGTATACCAGCATTAACATTTAAGATACTGTGAAATATTTTCTCTTTTATGGATGAATTCCATCCATTCATCACCATCATCACCAGTTTGTGAATTGTTTAGCACTTACAAATGATTTTAACTGTTCCCTAGTTTGAAAATATTGTTAGAATGAATAGATTGTTTAAAAATTGCAAAAATAAATGAGATATACAATTTTAACTATTTGTTCAAGAAGCAGTGCTTTCTGAAGGATTACAGGAACTTTCTGCTGCTATGAATGATTTCTGAGCTGAATAGTTTTACATCAAAACACTTCAGCTGCCTCTTGAGCATGGCAGAAATATTAATATTTCTTCCTCATAATCTGCATACATAACTGCATAGGGTCTCTTTGTAGTAGAAATATGATTGACCAACGACTGTAGCAAAATTATTCTGGGGTCCCCAACAGGCTTAGGGACCCCAGAGTGATATGGAGCCCATCAAGTAGGCTCATTTGATGTTGTCGCCAGGGGAGTGGGGGGGCTTATTTCTTTTTGTATTGGGGTTCTATCCTTGTAAGCCCCCCCGGAGTCAATGAGAGTGAGTTTGGCGGCCATATAAATGTTCTTAAATAAATAAATAGCTGTGGTCTGAAAGAGTCATAAAGAATGGTGCTATTGTTAATTGATACTAATATAAGTCAATGCTGCTCCGTCCAGATACTATTATATGTAAAAATACTTGGTCTGATTCAATAGAATAATACAGACTGGCAACTCAACATTTCATGATTTCTATGTCTAATTTCAAAGAAAAAAGTAAATATAATTGCATTTCACAGAAGAAGGTAGATAAGATAAACTAAGATAAGACTATGTAATGTGTAGTAGTTCTTCAACACAGCTTTATTTTTTTTTAATTGTGGCATCTTTCAACATTTTTTTCCAACTAAACTAAGTGAAATGAAGAATGCTTGGGATTCTAGGATAGTAATAAATTTCTGTGTGAAAGGACTGAATTCAATACAGTTGTAAAGCTAAAATCTTTTACAATGTGCTTTGAGATACATTTGTTTTCATTCTAGGTATGCATTGATGCAAGATTCTTATTTGCTTAACCATTCTTTTCCAAATAACCCACATTTAGCTGGAGTCACACCACATGTTTAGCTATAAATCATTGTTTACAAACCATAATGTTTATATTGACAAATCACTGAGCAAAACCCAAATAAACCATATTTGTGTGATTTCAGGCCAGGTTTGTGCTTTTTGCAGCTGATTCTGGTTGGTGGATATTGTCAAGTAACTGATAAAACTAAATAAGAGTTTCACAGATCTACAATTAATCTAGAATGATTCCCTTAATTTTGCTTGTAAGGTTAATGGAGCTCTTAGTTCTTATTTTTCTATTTTACAAGGGAAGGCCTTGCATTATAGTATTTAATGACCTGCTATTCTTAGCATAAATATTCATAAATGATATCTAAAAGTAAATAATGTCTCAGCACCATGGAAAAATGCTTTGAAAGGATATAGTATTTGCTCTCTTTTAGTAAAAGTTAGATCAGTGGTAATGAACCAGCATGCTATTTGTCATGTTGTTTCTTTTAAAACAAAAAAAAATTGTAAGTAGTCAAATAATTTTCTAAATGTCCTCTTTTAATATCAAGAGCAAATATTGAACCTTTTAGTCTTCATACTTCTAAATGTATTTATTGTTGATATACTGTATTCTCTTAAATAGCATGGTAAGCTTATGCACATATGTTTCTGTCAGGACCTTTTATCATACTGATTTATATAGTGATTTGCATATATTATCTTGGGAATTAAGCAGTATGATCAAATTTAAATGTAATTGTTATCGGTTACCATTTCATTTAAGATGTATTTGGGCATATTTCCCATAGATAAAATTTCATCAGTGCCTGATTTCCAAATATACAAGAAATAATAATGAATGTAGTGTTGTATCTTACACATTCATGGGAATGTTGAGGAAGTATAATTTTAGAGATGAGCTTTTGGGGACAAATCTTTCACAGTTCTGAATGTGAATCTGGTTTTGCATCTATTCAGTCAAACAACAAAATGCAAATGACACGTATTCATTTTTTGTGCTTAACTATATCAGTGCACTTAACATATCAGGTTTTTTCATTTCCTTTTAATAATGATGCAATAAATTAATGTGAAGATGTCTTTAATTCTTGTTAATTTCCTTCCAGAAATTCCTGACCTATTTCTCCTACTTCTTTGATTTCAGGTTACTTCCAGGATTTGTTAAACAAGTCAGAGAAAGCACTTTATGACACATTTCCTGGTATGTATGGAGACCTTTATCTCCAGAACGTAAAGCTTTTCAAAGACTTGTATAGTGAGCTGCGGCATTATTATCGAGGCCCCAACATCAACTTAGAAGAAGCCCTCAATGAATTTTGGACTCGCCTGCTAGAGCGGCTCTTCAAGTTGATGAATCCCCAGTACCAGCTTCCGGACGAATATATGGACTGCATAGTGAAGCACTCGGAACAGCATAAGCCATTTGGAGAGGTTCCAAGGGACCTGAAGCTCAAGGCAACAAGGGCCTTTATTGCAGCCCGTTCCTTTGTGCAGGGACTTGGTGTGGGCAGCGATGTTGTCAGAAAGGTCTCTCAGGTAGGTCATTCACTTAAATTGCTGTGTGATCACCATTCCTGAGTGGTTTTAAAGTACCTATTTACTCTGGGAAATATATTTACCATTGTATTAAACAATGCAGACAGATTCATTGATTGGTGCCATTTCTGCTTTGCATAAATAATTACTCCAAGCAGAGAGCTTCCTTCAGTGTGTGGGTGTCGTTCCTGAAGTTTTGTCATAGCAGGATCCATCATGCAATTCAGTAAAGCAGTGGGACCATTCTTTTGAGTGTTAAATTTCTGGGAGATACCTTTTTTTCTTTGCTATATTACATCAAATCAATCTAGTGTCTGGTGTACTGTGGGAAAAAATACAAAGTGACTATCAAAGCTAAATACACTAGGAGGGCATGGCTTAAATCATAGTAGCTTCCTTATTACTGAAAATATTATGGGAAAGAGCCTTAAGGAAATTAAATATTTGTAGGTTTGTTCCAAAACATGTCCAGCATCTTTTATTCTTGGTATTATAAAATGCACATGCACAAAGAAACAGTGTGCAGATTAGCACAGCAAAACACTGAGAGGGTGTTCAGAGATTATTGTTAGTTTACCTCCCAATGAAAAGTTACATGTTTTTTCAACACAAATGGCCTGTAAAATACATATTATCTTCAGAGATAATAAAGAAAAACAAATAGCCCGAGTATCCAAATGTTTTATGTATCAATGTGATATTATAAATAATTTGAAAGTGATGGAGCCTTTATGCACAGCCAGTAGCATTGGACTTCTGGGCCATCAAGCAGATTGAACACAAAGAAGAACATAAGCCAGTGGTGGCGAACCTATGGCACGGGTACCAGAGGCGGCACTCAGAGCCCTCTCTGTGGACATGTGTGCCGTCGCCCCAGTCCTAGGTCTTCAGCTGGGTTTTATAAAACCTTTTTGCTTTAGGCCTCTGCCATTGTGTACAAAAAAAAAAGGTTCAATCAATCAGTCAATTTCAACTTCTCAAGGAAAAACAAAGATCTTGCAAAGTTGGAATTGATTGATTGAATTTTTTAGTCCCACCCAGTCTGCCGTTACCACCGCAGCCACGCTCACCCAATGAGCCACGCCCACCTGGCACCCGACGATACATAAGTGGGTTTTGGGTTGCAGTTTGGGCACTCAGTCTCTAAAAGGTTCACCATCACTGACATAAGCTATACTAGAAGTTGGCACAATTCAGCTAAAAATGTAAAGTCTTCTTGTTTTCCTTTTGAGTATTCAGTATGCTTCCGTTTTAAAATAATATTCCACTTGGGCCTGAAAGTATGAACTAGCTAGTTTAACCAGTCTGTCTTCATTTCCCTTTTCCTGGGTGCCCTCAATTCAGAAGTGTTTGGTTCATAAGTTTAGAGATTAAGTCATGCATTCCAGGACAAATGACTTTTCTATGTCAGTACAATGCATTTATCTCCTGATTGGTGGTATGTGAACACCAGCGTTATTTTGCAAAGTAAATTTTTGCATTAGAGTTTGCAAAGAAATGAGCGTAAGCATATTTGGGGTAAAACAACTGGCTGCACTTTTCGTCATGCTTGCTAAAATTATAATGAGTGGCAGAGTACAGTAACTATTCTCTGGAGTATGTCTGTGAAAGGAAGAGAAAAAAAGATACATCTGAAAGAAGCTAGCCTGAACTAGTGGAGTAAAGTTGTTCAATATATGCAGGGAATGAATAGAAAGCGAACACAAGGAAGGAAGAGGTAGAAGCTGCTTGGAACATAAAAAGACTTGTGTTATAGCAGTGGTTCTCAACCTTTCTAATGCCGTGACCCCAACCGGTCGTAAGTCGAGGACTAAACCGGTCGTAAGTCGAGGACTAAACCGGTCGTAAGTCGAGGACTACCCAACCGGTTGTAAGTCGAGGACTTTCCCTGCCCGGGAGCGCCGCACATGCGTGGTTCCGCCCCCTGCGCCGGCTGAGGCGTAGCTGGCAAGCGGCAGAGACGGAGCAGGCCGACCACCAGCTGGCCCAGCCCAAGGGAGGTAAGGCACCCGCCAGAAAAGGGGAAAAAAATGGTGGACAAAAAAAATGGCGGACAGCCTTGCTTGGCGACCCCATGAAATGGTCGATCGACCCCAAATGGGGTCCCGACCCACAGGTTGAGAACCACTGTGTTATAGAGTGCTGCAGAGGTACAATAAAAAAAAAATTCTATTTCTTGTGTTTACCCTCTAGTCTCATTAGCTGTCCCTTTGCAAGTATCGTTAGTAAAATAAGCTTTAGTATATCAAAGAAGTGATAAATCATACAGTGCTGGAGAATAAACATTCAGAATCATTGTATTTCCTGTGCATTGTTTGCAAAGATTTGCCATGTAATTTCCTTTATCTGCGATAAAATACACCTAATTTGCGTGATTGCTCAGTCGGTATTCATATTTATCTGAAGATTTTATTTATTTCATATTACTTTATATGGATACAGCAATCTATGCCATTCTTTTTGTAGCTGATCCTTATTCAGTAAAATCTGCTGTAGATAAAGCGAAGAAAAATACACAACTCATAAGCCAGCCTTAGAGAAAGCCAGTAAATTACATAAAGACAACTATTTTGTTGGTCAGCTCAAGCAACATTTTCATTTTTAATTACTACTGCTTGTCCCAGCTTCCAGGACTTGTATCTTTTGAATATTTCAGTCATTTTCCTTTTCAGTTTGCTCTTCAGTTGGATCATTAAATTCCAGAAGCTCTTGTGGAGATAGAAAGGTTTGCATGAGGGCTGGACTGAAAGAAAAGAGAATGAAAGCTGTTTACCAAATTGCCCTTTAGAGGGGGGCTCTGCTCACAACCCTAAGATCTCTCTTTCCCAGAAATGGCATAAAGCATTACTGTACTTCTCCCGTTAGTCATCCTGAATGAAGAGTAATTGAAACTCTTCTTGACTATTTTAAAATACCCTTATTTTAATATGAATGAAATATTTTGCTTTTGGGTGACTCTGGGTGGCCAGTCTAGAAATCTCTTACCAGTCTTTTCTTAGCATATATGAGATTTTACAACCTGCTAAGAAAGCATTTTGTATTATCCACAAGGTAATCCCTGGTTAATATTTTCACATACCACTTTAATTCTGCTGGCAGGTTAGTAGAATTAAGGAAAATGGGCTTTAGGAATGGATCCATGAGACTGCTTTTCACACACTGTAAGGTATTTTTTCAATAGTCACCCTGTGGTAAACACCTTATAGAGGTAGGTCAGGTGAAAGAACCAGCATAACAATATACCTTGGATTTTCTCTTTGACACACTGGATCAAGTGAGCATTTGTCTTCTAAGTGTATTAACTTCCAGATAGCAATTTTTGTCCAATAATTTGCTTTCTTTTCATAGTAGTAGCCCAAATTAGTAAACAACTGGAATAGGACTTTTTGTTCAGATGTAATAGAATTATGTCAAAAAGTGTACCAGTATAACAAACTTCACTGTGAGATGAAACTGCATTATTAAGACACCAGATCTATTTAAAAATAGTGTTCCAAGGCCTATGGACAAGTTATAAAGCTGGGGGATCATAATTAAGTGATTTTTAATTACTTAATAATTAAGTTTACCCTGAAATTGAAATCATATTACATTTTCAATGGCTAATGATTCCAACAAAATAAACAAATAGTTACAGTATAATAATGTTAATAGTAAAGTTAATAAAGGAATGCTTCTACCATACATGCCTTCTATAAATTTAGGGTAGGCCTCTAGATTGCAAAGCATTGTTCTTTTGGAAGGCCACAGTTTCTGAGAGCAAAAGCTTGAAAGACATACCATAACAGATTTTTGCGCTTTCATAATATCACAAAACCTTTCTCAACATGTCTTCAGGGGATCAGGTTGGGGAAAGCTGGAATTGGCCCTTAGGCTCAAACTAGATTAATGTGACAGACCCATCTGTTAAAACAGATGGTGGATTACCCCATAGCCCCTCTCTCTCCTCCCATTCCTTTATCCCCAGTGGAATTCCTCTCTGTCTTTGGCAGAAGAAATCAGTGCTTGAAGCAAAGAGTGTGGGAGGATGAACCAGGTTTTCTCATGCTCCATCAGCACACTGCCTTTTGGTCTAAGTTTTGAGGTAAACTTCAAAAGAAAGATAATATGTTGTTCTACACAGTGGAGAAATATAAATCCAATATAAATTCTAAATCATCCCCCAATGGATTTTTTTTCATTCCGAAGTTCTGTCAATATTTTTAATAAAGGAGAGAGTGAAGATGAATACACCAACTCTTCCTAGAGTGCAACAGACTCCAAGGCCCATCTGCTGGGGAAGGGAGGGCTGTGATAGTAGGAGGCAGTTTTGCAGGTCCACATCCCAATATCCCCCCCCCCATGAGGACAGAGAAAGATCTTATTCCGAGTGCCAGCGAGAGGCTTGCTTAATTTGATTGTATTTCAGATCTGTGCAAGGGAGCAGGTCTTTGCTAGTCTCTCAGGGAGGCTTAGTTGACGCTTTATATAAATTGGATTTTGTCTTCCTTGAATAAAAATAGGATGGGGAAATAAAAGATGAATACACCAATTCCTTCTTCCCCTCATCAGTCTGGCCCTCATCATCCTACCAATCTCTCTATATGATGTAGGATCCTGGAATTTCCACATCATCCAGACAACCAATTCTGAACCTTAGAACAGAGGAACTTCAGAAAACTTTTATGGAATCTCCTTTTCTAAATAAAAAAGGAGATAACTGCATATAAGAAGTGGTTATCACAGAGAAATATTTTTATTGATAATATTGTTACAGATTTACTGTACTGTTCACACATGCACACACATACACAGAGACATTTCTGGTGGATCTATAACAGTGATGACCAAGTGCCCAAACTGCAACCCAAAAGACACTTATTTATCGCCAGGTGCTAGGTGGGCGTGGCCCACTGGGTGGGCATGGCTGTGGTGGTCATGGCAGAATGGGTGGGTGTGGCCAAGGTGGATGTGGTCACCTTGATGTTGCTTGTAGGCAGGGACTCCTGCGGGGAGCGGAC